ACACACACACACACACACACACACACACACACACACACACACACACACCCTCCAGTTTACTCTCCTACAGCTCACTGAGAGACAGCTCAGCACAAGAAGTTAAAATGTCAGTCTCACCATTAACCAAAGATATAGTTTCATCCATCATGTTTCGTTCTTTTTCATTCTATGGTGCAACAAACTCGAGTACAGAAATAGACCCTAACAATTTCCAGCTTTTTGTTCCACCTTGAGAAACATTAATGTAATATCTTCCAGTAAGAAATACTTTTGCTATTTTTCCGACACCCCATAAATGCTCAGTAACACTCACCTTTTTTTTTCACTCGTCTGCTTCTATGACTGTAGAAACTGAAATTATAGTACTTTGTTTTCTCTTCACCTCAGCAGAGCAGCTCCTCCCCTCTCCACAGGAACTTGTATGACTACATTCCCAGTGTGCAAGAGAGATATCTTTGCTTGAAAACAACAAATATGAATGTAAATGACTAGACCTCCTACACACTGTCAATTAATATTTAATTCAATTCCCTTCTAGCATCTAATAATAACAACATTCATCTCAAGGCAATTTATATTGTAAGGTAAAGACCATACAATAATAAAGGGAAAAAAATAACCAAAAAAACCCTCAAAAATAACATCAAGACAAACTTATTTGAGCAAAGGAAGGTAGGAAGGAAACTCCAGCAGTATTAAGGCACATAGGATAGAACATTCCAGAATATTCCATGTGCTTAACAATTCCCCACCGTGTCAATGAAAGCAAAGCAAAAGCATGCCAGTAAAGAGTACTTGCCCAGTCTGTGCATTCTGTGACGTACCTTTGTGTAACCAGTAGAAACACAGCCACGCTAAATTTAGCCACACAATGAACAAAATAATGCAAACATGGAAAAGCTGATTCTGTGCACATCCAAGATCAGTGAGTTTTATGACTAAAGTGTAAGTGCAAATAGGCACCATCAGAAGAAAGTAGTGGAATTGACAGACACTGCACTAGTAGGGATAGTTTCAAAGCTTTATGGATGACAGATTCATGTTTTCAAATGACAGCGAGCAAACACTTGCACAGGGGAGCAAAAAATGACATACAGTGTCCGTGTGGTGTGACAGTGTGTGGTATGTGAGAATACAAGATGAAGATGCAGAGGTAGGAGGAGATTTAAAGAAAAAGTGAGCTCTTTTATTGAGCACATGAAGCTCAATAATCCAAATACAAGGGTGAAACACCAAACATTACAAAAAACAATGTGATGGTTTTAACTCTGACCGTTTAATGAAATGAAACCATTAATAGGAGCTGAGTTTTGCTATAATATCACATTATTATTTATATGTATAATGCATTGCTTAAAGTACACTACAAATCTTTTGTTTTGCCTTTTTTTTTTGTCACCATCAGCTTCAAACAGACCACCAATAACTGTAAGTCACTTTAGGTCCACTTCATGATTCACTGTGAAGAAGATGAGACTGAGAACACTTTATGATCTGTTCACATGATCATGAGTTCAGTTTTAACTATGCAAACCTGTGACTGTAGGAACTGTTGTTAGATAACGTCAGAAAATAATTACATCTCAGCTGTACCATGCAGGCAACATTAGTGCGCTCCAATAGCACATAGTACATAGTAGAGAGGTACAAACTCTAGCTCACCTAACAGTGGATTCATGGTTTTGTATCAACAGTGTAGATGTGTTGTAACTGCAAACATTTCTGTCACACACCATAACGTACGTTTACTTTCTTAGAAATGCAATTACAAATTACTTTGACACATTCAGCAATATAAGCACTGTGTATGAGCATAAATGTTGACAACAAGGTCGACCTCTTATTTAGAGACGTGGAGGATTGAATTCTCACCAGGTTAATTCTCATTGCAGACTAAAAGGGTTTGAAATCCAGACTTTTAGGTTTAAAATGAGTCTATATCTGCTTTTGCTACTAATAAATCATTTTGTATTATTAATCAAAATTAAATCAAAGTTTGAGTGATGATGACTGAGAAATACAGTTAATGTAATGAAATGGTTCTAATACCTGATCTTCTGACAAATCGAATGATTTTGTGTGTGTGCATGTGTGTGTCTGCTTATGTGCTGTCATTGTTTGTACAAGCGGGGAATTCAACAGTGGCACAGAGCCCAGATCTTGTCTGAGAACTTTAGTGCTTCGTGAGAATGACTAAGCAAATATTCACACAATGTTTAAATTTAACATGTATGATTTAATAAAAGAAATTAAATCATACATGTTTAATGAAAATGTCAGGGTTTTCCTATAGGTCTACAGAGGACCCATATGTGTGACTTCATCCCCGAGCAGCTGCTTTGTGAGTGGTTGTTCTTCGCTTACAGACGGGACAGACAGCGTGTGCAGCGCGCCTGATGATGTTTGAAAGATACCAAAGTGCAACTGCAGCTTTTCAAACGAACTGCAAAATAAATTTCCCTCATACAGTCTTGGTACTGGTAATTTTTCTCATACAGATGAGGCCTTATTTCTGTGCCCTTATTTAATTCCAGAGGTTTTTAAGGTTTATTTTTCCCTTGTTGACATGTAAAAGCCTATATGACATTTCTTTCATTTCACCGTCCATTAACCGCACAAAGAAGGCACCCTGTAACCCTTGTGGTGTCCTCGGGTCAAAATTGGTCCCTAGGTGAACGCCAAACAAGTATATGGGAATCCCGAGGACACAAAGTTCTTCATGACTGGGCCAAGTGTCTTCTTTTTTTGGAAATCAAAATATTGTCACCCTACCATATAGCGTTAAATGGAATAAAAAAATAAAAAAATAAAAAACGCCCCCTACTGGTGAAACTAGTATATGTATAGTATATGTTTATATTGTCTATCCTGTAAAATAGTCAGATGTCTATTCATATTAATGTACAGAATTCACCTGCTTGCTGCTACTACTGCACATATA